GCAACTGATAGGCCGTCAAGCAGCATGTTAAAAAACACGAGCTGCCTGGCACGCGCAACAATCTGGACCCTAGGAATGAGTTGCTGACAACGATGGAGCTTACTTAAGTGAGCGCCAGAACATTAGATTTTATCTCGTTTGTAGCTTATTTCACCAGGAAAAGGACTTGCGAGGCTCTACATGACATGACCGTTATTGTTTATGCAGTCCACTATCAAAAACGTGTTTTGAATGAGGAGAAAAAAACAAGGGAAGGTGAAGGAAAGGAAATGTCCAAGCTAATCAAGCTTTTTTCTGTCAATCAGAGTTCCGTTAATTTGGCGGAAGGCAACAGGTAAACAAGTGTATAAACTTTATATGATACGGCTGGGTGTGGTATTTTCTCCAGGAAAATCGCGTCGCGCTTTTCACTCTCGGCCGCGCGCAGCAGCGCGCTTTGAAGGGAAGGGTTGAATTTCCATCGGAAGGTTACGATAGTCGCCGCGGAACCACTGCCGCTCGCCGTAAGAATTTGGGGAGGGTTAGTGGTACCCGTTTGGAGTAGTACTTCTCTGTTTAACAAACTGGTGCTCAATGGTCGTTGCCAGTGCTCTGAGTCTGCCTACAATGAAATGTGTGGACATTGTCGACAAAAAAAAAGCGCTTAAGAACAGTCTAACATGAAATGACTGAGCTGACGAGGTAGTAAACTCCAAAACATATCCTTGATCACTGTAAGCACATAATAAAATACGAATTCCGAGCGAAAGGTTGACGCCGGTAGAATTACACGGCTTACGACCGTTATTCCTGCCGAATCCGCTTCTATTTAACTGCTTTCCTGTTGCTGAATTTTTCATTACTAAACTTATTCATTACTTATCCGAAACGAGCAGAGCGGGTACCGATCAAGTGACCGCACCGCAATCAAAATAACCTAGTAATGGAAAGTCTCTAACAAAATAAATGCTTAGAGGCCTTTCCCATTCCCAACTGTACAACACTGCACATCGACTTTATTTATGAGCTAGAGTAGGAACACTCACAATTAGAACCTGTGAAATAACTGAAGGGATTATATTCCCCGTATATGGCTTCTAATCAAGGATTATGATGGCTCACAAATAAAAACAAGTACCGTATGAAAAACTGTCAACGAGAAGAAATCATAGATGTCACGATAAACATTCTGTTAAATGCATATTTGTTTTGGCGTTGAGAATGCATTTTCAAATACAGTGCGGTGGAATCCATGTACAAAGATGAATTTCAAGGATTGCGATTGCGATTGCTTGTCCTTCCCGGTTGAAAGGAAGATTCCGCTGCATTCAGATAACTACAAAGCGATCTTTGTAGATATCAAGTCGGAAAATGCGGAACGACTGTACAATCAGCCTCAAATGACATTACAACTATTAAAATTCCAATTAAAATAGAAGTAAGGATATGCAGGAAAAATCTGGTAATCTCTCCAGTGACAAAGCACTTCACTATTGCAGAAAGGGACGAAGAGGAAAAAGGTCGACGTCCTACAGCGTGCCTTTGAGAAAGAGATGTTTTGGCGGTCTGAACAGCAAAAGGAGTCCAATATATGCTGGAGACTATCTCGATTACGAGAATCTTTTTTTACATGACGATGTTGATCATACTGTGCAAAAGTAATAGATACCAAATGAGCGACTGGGCCGTGAGACCAAGAGGCAGAAGGTAACAACTACGATGTCCTACAAGAAGCCTAGTCCGCGTTCAATTGCTATAGATGAGCATGCAGGGCAGCGCTGAAATGATGCTGTATCGAACAATTTCACGTGGGGTACCGGCTCAATTCATCATACGACATATCGCCTATGAAGCAGCCGAATCAACGATCGTCGGGATTATGCGAATAAGCGGATTGGCAAAAATGATGCGAGGTTCAGAATTGCAACTATTTCGCCATATCAACCTCATATATAAATAAAAACGTTAGTAGAGAGTGCGCATGCTGGCGCAATCGATACGACCCTTCAATGCGTGGCCACAGGGCATACTCGATGTGCAAAATAGCAAATGCCATTTTCATGGGATGTACGGCAATATCCCTTCACTAAGTAGCTCAAGGACAGCATTTTCGTTCATATGGTACGAACTCCGGACTCTGGTGAAACACGGAGGCACACTACACGAGCATATTATGTTTATTACACGAAATGAAGGTTGTGAAATGCAAGACACATAGATGGAAAAATATAATAGAACGCGTATTCAACTTGGCGATGCGCCATACCTTTTATGGGAACCCTCTTGGGGCTCCCAGACTAGTACATTAATGTAAAGCGATAAAAAGCGAATAATAACGAAACCTATTAGGAGCGAAACAAAGCGTACTCCTAAGAGACAGGCAAAATGGGTTGGAAAATAGTTTGTGCAACTGGCTGGTAGGCATGAGCGCTTCGCTGCGATCTTAACACAGTCGCAGGACGAGGTCGCCTGACTCCGACATTTCCAGCCTCACCAGATGAGGCCAATCGCTTAGCTTGTCCGATGCCGAAGCGCTCAGTGTAGGTACTGGCTAAAGGCGCCATCCACCTGGAATATACAAATTGAAGTACGAAAAGATGAAGTCCTCGATGTTTATCAATCCCTTCTTTTTTTGGGCCCCACATTCAACTCCTATACAAAATGGTAGTAGTACTTTTGCATGCATCTGTCAATACAATGGTGCCCAGCCGATGTACAAGACAGAACTTTCATCCTGCTATACAAATCAGTACCATTTAAGCGTTTTCGGATTATCGTAAGTGTGATAGGGAGAACGTCCGTTGCGCGTGTCCGTCGAAAGTAGGTCACCCCGCCCACTTCGCGCGCGGCGCATCACACTGAGGTCTCGAGATGACATTACAGTACCACTAAGTGTCATTGAAGCAAATGATTTGTCTGTGTTATCTTCTTCTTGAACTGACTGCCGTGGATCAAACGCAAAGCGTATGCCCCAGTGACAATTGCGACGTCTGTCAAATATCGCGGCCGACTCGCCGCGTGCGACGGCTGCGGCGTGACCCAGTTTCGACGGGCGCGCGCAACGAAGCGCACCCCTCAAAAACGGCTAAGCTGAGGTGTACATCCAAAGCCGGGCCGGACGAGTTCCCATTGCGGCAGAGTTTGTACCTCTCCCTCGGCAGCATATACGCACGCAGGCATGCAGGCAGCCTACTGTAGTCAGCAGCTAACTGTACGCAATGGCGCGCACATTTGGACAGATGGCCCATTTGAACAGGTGGCCCCAGTACCCCTTCTATGTTACCGTCTCATTCTTTTCCGACCTCTCATTTTGATCCTTTTTTGTAGCCTCATACTACACGAAATGCCCGATTTTTGCTTTTTCTTCGCAACTTTTGCACTACTCCGGACCATCACTCAAACTTTTCGTCTGAGAATAGATACATACCTCGAAATTATCGTGACCTATTCCTTTAAATATGTGCTGAGGGAGATTTTTTTGAGGCCATTCTTATATTTATGAGTGTTTTCCCCGCTCTACGGATCTCCTTCACTTTGGGTTCTTCCTCACTGAAGGATCCCAGACGGTTAGCTACGAGGCTACGTAGGGCGTCCCCAGGTGGCAGATAGGGGAATGAATCGCCGACCAAAAGTCGCCAATACCTGCCCAGAGACGCAGGTGGATTCAGAGGATAGACTCCCTGATCCTGCTGAGCTGGTCGATATGCCTTCTGTTTCTCGCAGGCGTATCCACGCATACGTGTGTGGAGAGTCTGTGGGTGAGTTGGTATACTGTCCATCGACTCAGCCAAAAGCTTGCATCCCAGTGACTGGGAAGTATCTGGGTGGCGATTCGGGGCCGCCTCCAAGAACAAGGCCCTCGTCCAAGCTTCGGGATAGCCTGGCAAGCCCCCGGAGTTACCCCCACGTCAGAGCCCGCCAAGCTACACGTTGAGTATCCACTCGCCAAACACAGTAAAACAAATGAGCCTCATTCCTCTGGAGATGAAGGAGCCTCCAATACGGCAGCGTTGGGTAGGACCGCTTGGGAGGACCTGCTTAAATCTCAGGGCCGATACAGGCTGCCCAAACGGAGAAGGACTACTCGTAAGATGGCGATCTGTACTTTCAACACACAGACGCTTGCATCGGAAACTTGTATGGAAGGCCTGATGATGTGATCTTGGGGATCAAATACGACGTCATCGGACTGACCGAAGCGAGAAGGCATCGCGCGCCGCTAGCCGTATTTGAGACCGGAGAAGAACTGTCCCTTGGAACATGCTACAGCAGAAATGTCGGCGGTGTAGGTGTCCTCGTCAATACGCAATTGCCCATAAACATCGATTCCTCGTCAGAGCATGACAACCCGAATAAGACGTTTGTGGTTGAGAAGATGTGGAACCAATCTTCCGTATGCATCCGACAGACGTTTTTTGAGAAAATCCATTAGTCTTTTGGCTAGACCTCAGCTAGACCTTTTTGTTTGGAGTATCGATATCGCTAAACATACTTAATGCGTTCCCCACAACATGGTGAGATAGAGCTCTGATGGTCTTTCGCTCCCATATATGTAGTGGTAAGACGAATAGCTATTACTCTAAGTAACCACACTGTCACTTTTGAACTAAAAAGGCCATTTCACGGTTTGAATCTTTCAAAATGTGACCCTAATGTCGCATTTTCTATGGCTTACGAACTTTACCCTGACATTTAGAGATTTTTTAGCTGCATATTTCTCCTAAGCCAACACTCCATTTCTATTTTCGAAGATCTGAAAGCGCACATGGATAAGGTACATGGTCTAAACCGCATTCAAGTTCTCATTTAATAATATGAAAAGGCAAGAATCAGTATCAGTTACCTCACCTTCCCCCTTCCCCAACTACAACCATAAGTGAGTAAGAGCTACTTCCAGGAAAGAGAATTCGAGCAGACAGCCTTTTAACATTCATTAAAACTGAATCAANTTGGAGATCTCCTTATATGTGAAGCCTATAACTATATAAAAGAACAATAACAAGTCCATTCGGTATGACAACTTACTGTGCTGCTTTTTTTCCTTGACGTAGGCACAATTCGCTGGTAATTGATGTAAAAACTTTTGGCAACCAGCTGCACAGAGCTTCAAGTGTCTCAGAATAGATAACCTCGGCAGTAGAATTGATTCCGTTGTTGGGAAAGATCGAAGTATTCGCAGAAATCTTCTTGTTCTGAATCGTATGTATATGTATATTCTCTGAACGTAGAGGTCATTGTCATATTGGGCGCATAACAAATTCAAAGCGGGTGGCTGCTTGTTGTAAAGGCTTACTTCCTCGATGGCTGGCCGCGCAGTCCTACTGCAAAAAACTACCAAGCACGTTAGGAGCGAAGTGGGTTACTTCTTCTACCCATTTTTAGTGTTTATAAGCTGCCCAATTCCACAAAAATGAACAAAGGATCGCAAGCATCTTGTTGAAAATTCTATTGCAAAATATGATAGTACTGAATTATATCAACTAGGTTCTGATTACAATTGTTCAGGAACGCTTCAAGAACAGACTGTTCCTGAAGCGTCTCAATCACTACGGACTGTTCGCGAACGTCTGGTTAAGACAGAATGCGAGAGCACTGGAAGCGATACATGAACTTTATTCTAAATGACTAGGAGACGTTAGAAACACAATTAACCCATATTTCATCCAAAAATTTTTGTACTTTACCTTTCCGCATCGAGGAAGGCGAGCGTTTCTCGAATCGCTCTGCGGGTCCCATATGAAGACCTCAGCATGGTCCGTACATAACTAGGGTGGCCTACGAGAGCGGAATGAGTTTTGAAAATTCTGGCGATACTAAAGCCGAAAACTGCCATTGTCAAGAACGTGTTTAAAACGGCTTCTGCAGTTTCGTCTGAAGGCGATTTTAGAACGGCGGAGTCCATGGAAATGGCTCGTCAGATTGCGCAGGAGAATGGATATGGTTGCGATGGTCAGCCTGCGTGGCGTAGAAGGCGTGCTAGGATGGAACATGCGCAAGAGGAAGAGCGCACGAAGGTACCCTTCTGTGTACCTTTCGTTTCAGACGATATGAGCGCTGCCATTCGCGCTTGCCTGCGAAAAGCTGACCTTCAGGATAGTGTGCGAGTGGTCGAAATTCCCCCCTCGAACCTCAAAAGACAGTTGGTGCGAAACCACCTCTATGATCGGAGATGTGAAACGCCCTTCTGTGCGATTTGCCCTTCCGGAAAGGAAGGTGATTGTATGATTTCAGGAGTCGTATATCTCATCACATGCCAACTGTGTGGGGAGGAATATGTAGGAGGAACGGGAAGACCACTCTGCATTAGGATAAAAGAGCATTTGGATGGGTTGAAAAAGTCTAGAAAGCGCACTCCTCTAGGTGATCACAGGGTACAGCACCATGTGAATGAAGGTGTGACGGTCTCTGTTACGATACTGTCTCCTGAAGATGACATCTCAGCGCGCAAGACTCTGGAGGCACTGTGGATTGCAGCAAAGAACCCGAAAATCAACAGGAAGGGCGAGTGCGTGGCGATTACCAGGGAGCTCGCGCCATTTGCAGACTTGTGTGGCTTTGATTTACACAGTCGATACCCCCGCGGGGGCGCCGGGGCAGGGGTGACGGGTGAAAATACCCAGACCCGCTGAAAAATCAATACCAGGGGCGATGCGCGACCATCGGCAGGGACCTGACCTCGCGTGACCTTATTTAGTAGTTTATATCTTGGGGGGTCCCCTGGAGCAATCCCTGACCCGACCTCTGGGTCCCAGCATATATAAAAGCGCCGTGAGGAACTTCGGGCTCAGGGTGCAGACAAACAGCTCCAGCCGGTTACAGGTCAGCTCATCGCTTCTGTTTTACTTTCCTATAGAGTTCTTTTCTTGTAATTTGAAATGGTGGCCCACGAATCACAAATATACTTTCGACTTACAGGCTCCGACGAAGGCGATATTGCCGAAAAGTAAGCCGTTTGGATAAAGTGTTGTTAAGAACCTCGAAGGCTAATACAACCTACTACGAAGTTATTTCAATATGATCGAAAGTCGGACATGGGATACTAAAGCACTCGACAAGAGAAATGTACTACAGCCTACTCACATCATTTCTCGGAACTGGTATTGTAGGAACAGCTTTATTCTGCAGGTCCTTCACATTTTGCCACCATAACGGTTCAACAGTTGTACCCAAAGGCCACCAGCGGGGAATTTTAGCTGTTGACAGCCCCGTGGTAGCAGCTGCAAAAGGGAGGAGAGCAATTAGGATTAAGGAGCGCGAGTCGTAGCTTCACTCTCACCGGCTGCTGTAGTTCTGTTTTGCGTAGTCGGTGATAACCACGCCTGAGTCGTAACAGTCACTGGGATTTCGCTTTTCACTGATTCTACTCGCACTGATTCAGTTCTTGAGGTTGTTTGTGTTAATGGAGCAGAGGTGGTGCTCTTCGTAGTAGGACGAGAAGAAGTGAATGTTCTCAGAGGAAGTGTCACATAGCCCATCTGAAATACATCTATTACAGTACTTGCACCATCGAGATATCAGGCGAACGAACTTTAGTTTCGGATGGCCTGAAATGATTCACAACATTGTGCACGGAGAAACCTTCCGGTAGACCAAGTTCCTGTTTTGAGTAAAACCTGAATGAAAGCAACGAAGCTTAAGAGGAATCAAATCTGTAGTGATAGGCTGATCATAGTAGAGCCCTTGCACGAGTCACTTCATGTAATAAATATATATAGTATACCTAACCTGTTGTGAAAACCAAATGGAATGGATATGGGAACAAACGCTCTGCCAATCTCTTTCATAGTTTCGGCATTGATCACGAGAAGCAGCGCTTAAATAGGATAATTATCGATCTCTTATTTCATCTACTTAGATTTCCATTGCATAAGATGGAACCTTTATTTTCAACGACATCAAGGGCTCGAATGAGAAGAACTCCGTCGTCTTCTTTTCTCGAGTCTGGTCTAGGCACAAACCACGGCTCGTGAAGCACAAGGCTAATGTCGGCTCTGAGCTCTTGATTACGTGAACCGGACGGCTCATCAACGTTTATCTAAATCGCAACAACAACAGATCACATAACAGAATTTGAGAGATCGTTGAAACCCACAAATCTGAAAGCTGAAAACGATTTGTAAAACTTTTTTGCATTGCTTTCAGCATCCCGGTTCACAGGTTTCGAACAGATGCGCACCAGAAGATACCGAATAGCAGAAGAAACAAATTCTTGCCTATCGTTTTGAAGTGTTATCTCAATCCGATTATTGAACCAGATCCTCTATTTAGGAACTCGAAGGCTTTACAAGACAATGTTTCTAAGTTCTCACCCCTATGTCCGCCGATTATTGGGCCAACAAGCTCGTAAAGCGACTGATCTGGCCGGCTCGGTTCTGTTCTGTGTCTATGAGCTTGTCTACCTGGAATCCCCTCAATGGGTGTTTCCTTCAATCAAGTCAAGAGTTGGCCGACCATTTTCAAAAATGGGTGGAACAAGGGGTGGGCAGGTGGCAATGGCACAACACGTGATCGGTTCCATTGAACAGCGAGTTGAATCGGGGTTTTTAATATTCATCAAATTCTGCATCCAGAGTAGATACAAAAATTTGATCTGTTCACTTCGATTACCTTAACAATACGATTGCCTGCCGCGAATGGATGTTCCACGATATATGTCCATTGATAGGGCTTCTGCTCCAATTTGTGGTTAAACTGCGGAAAATCTGCAGCAATAGTCTCCTTAATAACGACTGTTTAACCAAATCGACTGGTTGAAAGGTCAAGCAGCATATAAGGAATTTACTTGCGGTATGAGATAGTTGTACATTACTCGGCGATGTTTGAGATCTAGGGTAAAACGAAGAATCCTTGCAGTGCTTGGATAAAGCTGTGATGTGAGGAAGTCGGTGTAGAAATATTTGACATACGGGTCATGAGAATCGTACACCACCTGCAAGGCTACTCATATTGACTACTCTCATCTGCGTTATCACAGGACAGATGTAAGCCCACCATGTCCGCTATAATGTTCCCGTCAGGAGAATCGTAGGCATTAAGCTGGTGAGTGACAAACATCGACGGAAATACTTCCAATGGCTCTTTTGATGAGAATTCTCGAGTTTTCTTATTGAAAACCAGAAATCTGATATAAATCTGGTCTCAGATGCATCAATTAAGTTAATCAACTGTCAAATTGCTATCACCTTAATGGCACCATATCGTAGAAATCCATGCCCCAAAGGCCACCTTTCTGAATATTATCGTGTCCATTTGAAACTGGGGGCTCTTTGAATTTGCATGGATTGATCAGCAGCGAAGTTAGTGGAATGATCAAGTAGTTCTCAGTAGACGTAATTGAATGAATATAACCAGGAAGCAGAGTTTTGTCACCTGAAACACTACAAATCGATGGTTTCATACTGTATAATGAACATGAAGTGGACAGTTTCTGCAAACATTTCACAATACACTGCTCTGTCAGGTTCCATTTTCGATTGTATGGTCTTTTGAATGCATACATGCATTCTATCTTTCTAGTATTAGTATATCATCATAGTAGGATAACAAGGCTTTGAGCTTGATAAGCCTTGTCTGCAATTAAAACCACTCGTAGTATGGTGCCCAGCCTTTAAGGTCATCATTTATTTATTTTTTTTTCTAAACATTTCCTCTCTGTGAGGCAATCGAACATGTCTGCTTATTAGGACTTTCGACGAATGTTGACTAGTAAATGTTCAGCCATGAGTAGCCTGCGATCGCTGATCCAATGAAAAGCTGCCGGAAAGCGCTAAAAGCGTAGTCGGGATTGGTCATCACGTGCAGTCAGTTAATCGCTGTTAAACCTCGCAAGCACGCGCGCACGCCCAACCGACGCACGAATGAACTCCATAAACACTAAATCAGGAAATCTCTAGGCTGATAGGAGGACAAATCAATCTTCCCACATTTGTAATTTTCTCTGATTAACCTTACCGGTACGTCCACTACACCTAGGTGATTCTATGAATGTATATTTTACGACCATCCTTCCCTCGATTCGGATACAAGTCATACTCAAGAAAATGCTTTCGATTATTCCGATTCCTTGGTATAACTGGGTGATATTGTTCGAGCAACAGGAAATTAAGGGCGCCTGGAACGGTTGCTCAGTTAAGAAATGAATTTCAACTGACTTGAACAATTAACAAAAACTCATTCAAAGGCTCTTGAAAAGGAAGGACAAGCATAATTCGATTAGTCAGAGGAATGAGCCGACAGTATATGTTGGGTGACGATTATCTAATACTATAAGCGATGAGGACAAACCCTATATCATGTGGAATGGAGGATAGCGAACTTATGACATCGTGCCATAGTTAAGGTAAAGCTATTTAGTTACCTGTGGTAACGAATTGCAAAAGCTGGAGCTGGGGTCGATAACAGAAAGAAGTTCTCTGCCGTCAAGTTGGCATACCCGTGCAGATCACTCACTACACAGCGCAGCTTGATGTCTTTAGGATTTCAAATGGTAGATCAAGATAGCGCGCACGGGTGAAAATGTACTTCATAGGAAAAATGTAAACCAGCTTCACTCGCTTGGACACTTTGGTCTCGTATTTTGCAGTGGATGATATGCGCGTCGTTTCCTCTTCGTCATCAGCGCAATAATTGATTTACAGTGATTTCGTGTGTATTTCGGTGAACCGGTGGCTGCAGTGCTTAGCTTTCGGTCATTATCAAGTCCTCTCACACCGTGGAGTTTGCACGGGCGATTATTTTGGAAGAGCGTACCCATGTTTGTGCATCCGATCAACGTGCGCATCTTCGAGTCCTTCGATTCACCCGGTAACTCACCCGCAATGGAGCATTACTGGTTTGAATATTGTCTTCACTTATATTTTCGCAGCAAACGGTAGTTACTGGGAAAGTCGTGACAGTCATAGTCACTGAAGTGGAATCCTGAATGTCACAACCGCTAATGTTAATGAGCAATGGCCTTCCATAGATGCAGTGCATTAAGCGTAACAACACTGAACCAGAAATCGTGTAAAAATGAATTTCCGCTTGATCTGAACGGCTAGGAAAAGTGCAGTCAGTCATATGAACTTGTATGGAAGAGGATTATGAAGCAACAGCTAACTTAGTATTCATTATGACTGCTAAACGTTGCCCAACATTTAGGGCATTATCGCTTAGCTTGTTTAGGACTTCTAATAGGAGTCATGCAAACAGCTGGGTGTACATCGAGACCACAAATAAAGTGAGAACCTCAGATGAAGTCGACAAAGGTGCAGCTGTTTTTAAAATAATAAACAGGTTCTTTCCATGTGCTGATGAAGCGCCTGAAATTGAGTGCCCACGTTGGCCTACGGATCACTACAACGAATCGAACCGAACGACGCCTTCGCCGCACTTCCCTTCCGAGCGCTCAAGCGTACAAGAGATAGAATGAAGAGAGCAGTGCTAAGTGAAGCTGTGTTTCAGCAATCAAAAATGAATGGAGGCATCATTCTAGTCAAACGTGGATGGATTAAGAACCGAGAAGCCTCCAATAACAAGTATCTACAGACCATATTCAGTCCAATCAAGATTAATCACTAACCAATGTATTCATCATTCTTTCCGCATGCGTCAGGGTCCCATGCGCCATAATCGTACAGCCCAACCACACGGCGAACTCCGTGGGCATCGACTGTGAAAATGCCCTAAGTAAGTAATCGAATTAAGATTATTTCTAACTGAAACGGTATCTGCGCACATTTTCCACAGCATTGGCAACAGTTTCGTTTCTCAAAAATGTTAGAGACTATGATTGAAAAGATTGCACAGCTTGTTAGGCCCAGTTTCCGATTGTACACGGAAGCTTTTATGCATTTGTCACATAGTCACCAATCACTACGAAAAACAATTTCGTGGCGTTTCCAGCATAGATATTTAGAAGATCAGAGCTTTCAGTTCAACGGAATCATTCAGTCCTATTCTAGAAAAGGTAATATGCACCACAGAGGTAGAGAAATGTTTCACTATAGAAATGTCATAAGTTCAAGCATTGACGACTATTTTTGATGAAGTTGATTTGAGCGAGGAGCTCGAACCTGCACGAATCGCTGTTCCTCGAAGTTCATAGCTGAGAATGACCCCCAAATCGTTCCATCAGGATCGTTTCGCTCATGAATCGCCATTGAAATTGGTATCATTGTCGGACGAGGTGATGCAAAAATATCGTTGTCTTCGGTAAATTCGAAAAGTTTGAAGTTGTTGAGGTTTTGCACCTATAAAAGGAGCGCTCTTTCTACGAGAAAAGCTCAAACATAACACGCCGAATTCAGCACACGTACGTCTATCTCGTATCCGATCCAGTAAGGTGCTTCTGTACCAGCGAGAATTCGCTTACCGATCCTCCAAAAATCAAGATTAGGATGAAAACGGGCCGAATCCGGGTTGCTGGGAATCTGGAAATTCGATCATGGCTTACTCAGGTCAGCTGGCGAACTAGTGAGCAAACCTGTTCCCATCTTGACATGGCAGTTAAGTTGTAATCGGACCATCCTGCCCATGGTACGTTCGACTTACTCATGTTCCGATCGTAGAACTCCCAAATTTTGTAGGGACGGGAAGGATAATACTGGGACGAGAACACGACCTTCAATTTTAACAATAATTAAACCAACGAATGGCTCCATCCCAGTGATATGATTTTGAACTTTTACGCACTTGCCCATTGCTAATGTGAAAAGAGCCGATAGCTCCTATAGCGTCAATCATATGATTTAACTTTCGACCGGGTGCAGCGGACGAGTTACCATATGATGCGGACAGTTGACATAAGAAAAACCCATCTGCAAATAAGAGTTTAAAGCATAAGGGGAGAGCGACTGCTATTTGAAAAGAGAAGAGAGTACCTAAAAATTTGGGTATGTTCTTGCTTGGGCAGTACAACTCTCGATACCTATCGCCATTCCACGTGTCAGGGAATCCAACGTGGACGTTTTCAAACGACTGGCTCTCCACCAGCGGCAGAATCACTGCTATTATGGCTATCATTTCCTAAATCGGATCAGTAGAGGTTGAAAAGTGTTCGAGATCTACGGAAAGCCTAATTGGGAGATGATGCTGTCATAAGGAGAACTCCCAAAGAGAGCGGTGGTTGCTCGAAGATGTCTCGTAGACGAATGAATAGTACAGCACTGATTGACCAAGGGGCGGCGTCCCACGAGGCGAACGGATTACGGGAGCAAAGTTGTTACAGCGCTTGCGCAGACATTCTCTTTTCTGACCACGATTTTCGGACGTTATTTTCTCTTTCTGAATCTCTACATTCCATCACATTCACTCACTCTTTGGGGGTATCACGCCAGTGGTAATGCGAAGTTTTTGCTACTCTGTTGTTCAATACTCGTCGTGCTCGACTCTATGCCCAGGCAAACAGTCATAAAAAGATGTTATTCATAAGAATTTCTCGTCGCTAGGAACATCTTTCAGTCACCTCACGAATCCTGATTACAAGTTAATCTCAAGCAAGGGAGATAGAGGAACAGCTACGCAAAGGAAATTCTTAGTATAGCAAAACTGCAATGTATAGTGGTAAGGGGTTCCTAAGCAATAAAGGCAATGATCGGCCGACGTCTATGTAGGTATGAGGTGAGCACGATGAAAGGATAAAGTGTTTGGGCGTTGATCGATTCCATCTGAGAGGTGCGCCTATGCATTCACCTCCCATTCAGAATCGCAGTGGCGTGTTGAATGCGTATATGGCCTATACAATGATATGTGGTCTCGAGCCGTTATACAAGTCAGTGCTTTTATCCGCCCGTACGAGTCTTGTGCCAATCATCCGGCACCTGAGATATGGAAGGATTGGTTAGTCTAGGCTATATCAAGCCGAGATGTGAACCCGTGACCATGCTTGTCTGATATTTCGCCACTTGCCACTATACCACCTCCGCTCGAAGTAACTTGGTAGAATTCTACTGACTACCAGTCAGATCGGCCGGCAAACTGCTCCGGGGTCTGGTATCTTCTACCTGAACGGCATGTCGTGCTCGCCGCCCGAGATCGCGCGCTGTGAAGGAAAGGTTCGAATTTTCATGCCAGTGGAAGGATACGGAGACTCGCCGCGGAACCACTGCCGCAGGCCGTGGGAATTCGGGGACAAGTTCCGTCACCCCTAACGCCGGGCACTCCTTCTTTTTGTGTTAAAGTTGATCCTTCGCCTACACTACCCCAAGTTGAAATCTCTGGTTCAAGAAAACAGGAGCTCTTGATTTCCAGCGAAAGACGCATTTCGTGCGTAGGGTTCATCCCTTTTAATTCCAACTTGAGTGCGTGTTTTCACTAGAAGTACGGTGAAGTGACCGAACACGCCCCATGTCCCATACTCCCTCCCCCCTCCCTACGCCTTCCCGGGCTGGATCTAGCTCAGTCACCTTCTGCTACCTACCAACGGTGTCTTAAATCTGACGTGACTCGTTCCAAATTCGAACGCCCCAGGTCAAAGTTGACAATTGTCGCGTACGCGTACGTACCGCTTCCTGTGGGCTGAGTCGAGTCATGCCACCTCCCATCAACATTCCTATACTACCGCCTTTATTGCTAGCGAACTTCAATGCACCAGGTTCGAACTGCCGACTTTCACGCACGCCCCCTCTAGAGTTAAGTCCTGCCCCTACCATTAGTGTTTCCATAACGTCGATCTTGCCATCTGTGTCCCTAACAAATTTGAATGCTCTAGAGGCACGGGAGAAGTAGTTATGAATTTCCGGTCATACATACATACATACATACATACATACATACATACATACATACATACACACACACACACACACACACACACAGACACACACCACAACAGGCGCACTTAGCCGACTATACAAGTATGATATTCCCGGTCATCACTTATCCGCACCACCCGCTTCTTTACCCAATAATATCAAGGTGACGTACATATATGCATGCACGGAGTACGTATTGAGTGAGAATTTCTTGGTGCTCCCACACTATTCTGAGAATTCAGCAGGGCTTCGTCCTCAACTGTTATGGTATGGAAGTGGCAGTTGCATCATCAATCATTAGAACTGTTAATGATGGTCAATTTATGACCGGCATCTTTTCCAACAAATCGAGGATTGCTTTGAGAAATGTATCCCCACTCCCCCAGATATTTTTTTATCCCTACTATGAGATAATGCTATTAGAACGCAAGTTTTTCATCAGCTTGGCCGTAACATTTACTTAGATTACATTTAAGAACACATAGAAGGGGTAGGTACTGTGTGAACATTAACACAAGCCAAATCCCTAATCTCATTTCTCTGTAGTTAGCAAGAAATAAATCGAGTGATTCTTCTCTTCAGTATTAACCATTTCAAATACTGCCATCACTAGACGTAACTGTGTAGAACTCTTTCCAATAGAGGAGTTATACTTAGTAACCCGATGATAAGGTTCAAAAGGGGAGGCATCGGAGCGTGGTAAATGTGATTGGGCCTTCTTAAACAATTGATTCTTCATATGAAAAAAAGACTGGTGGTCATAAGAGTCACTGGCTTCTATAACCTCATCAGGGTGAAAGTTTTGGGAAAGAGCTGAAATTGCTTTTCAAGTTCAATGTTGGAATGCTGATCGCTGAAAAGCCTTCCTTAATATTTACAATTATGCCTAGCTGAAGGTTATGCAAGTTTTCCTCTCTGCATGAGTTTTTTTCAGCGTATTTGACCCAAGCAATCTTCGATAAAGCAATTACGTCAAATTTTGTGCCCTTTTATGCCACGGCTAGTGCGCTTCATTCCACGCGTCCGTTGAAACTAGGTCACACCGCAGCCGTGGCACGCGGCGCGTCAGCTCGCGATTCTTGATAGTCGTCGCGGTTTCCAGTGGGGCATATGATTTGCGCTTGGTCCATGGCAGTCAGCTCGAAGAGGTGATAACACGGATTAGCGCAGATCATTCGCTCTGCTGACAGTTAGCGGTACTATGTATAATGTCATCTCGATATCGCAGCAGTTTGATGCAGCACGACTTTAGTCAGTGATTCAACTGATAGAAGGCGCTAAAATCTATTCTATACCATTCGAAGTAACGACGAGTAAACAGTTAAATGCTGTCCAGCTGAACTCGATAGGGAATAAATGGAAAGGATTAAAAGGGTTGAAGAAAAGTCAAAAATAAGAAAAGCTATTATCATCTGTTATATTTCGTACTGATTCAGAACAGGAAATCTAACCCTCATAGGAAAAGTGTTAGGAAATCTTCAATATAACTGCATTTATCATGGCGTTCTGGGAGGTGCCGAGCACTCGACCCTCATCTATTCTCGCTAGCTTTCGAGATATATGCTTACGTCAACCAGCGTGCTGCGTTAGTGTGATTCAAAGGAGAAACAAGCACCTCCTCCACTTTTCTCTCCCTCAGAATCGCTCTATTTTGTACGTTTTTGTAAAGACATGTCTTTTGAATAATAACGGCATTGATAAGAAAGTTCTCAGACTTCATGTTATCATGACTCCTGCTACAGACAGTTCTCTGTAGTGCTTAAAACTTGTTGTACTCATAGAAGAGAACTATATGGGTACATATTAGGTTGTAACCACCCGCTGGCCTACCACCTCAACGCGGTGGGTGTGTGAACGTGGG